AGGATGCTTTCACGGGTGAAGAGAGCAATGCAAAGACATCCCCAGCCGAAAGCACGGCTGGCACCGCACCCACGCAGCAGCAGGACATGACCCAAGCCCCCACGGTGCCCCAGTCCCACCCCGACAAGCGGGTCCTGCTCGGCTGCTGGGGATGTGCCGTAGGGCAGGAATGTGGGAGGCACAGGGAAAGGGCTCAGGCTAATCACCCCTCACGTTTCCCAGAGGACTTTCATCCTCCGATGCTTTTCAAGCTCTCTGGCAGGAAAAGCAGCCGGTTCACAGCTCAGACAGGGAGGAGGCACAATAAAAAAACCCAGCTTGGGAAGGTGTTAGCAGCGTGAGAATGCAGCTCGAGCCCAGCTGAGCCGGTGGGATTAACAGCTTGTGTTCCCCAAAAGCACCCGTGGGTATTTCCAGGCATCACGTAGCTGACATGAGAAAAACAAGCGCTCACAAATTCCCTGCCCGAGAGGATCAGAACTGGTAGAAGGGGTGATGCCCTGCCCCATGTCACCCTCTGCCCTGCGGTCCTTGGGGAGGGGAGAGCCACCAACATTTACCGTTCATCTCGCAGCCGATGAGTTCAAAGCGCAGCGTGCAGGCACGGCGGCACATCACGGGGTAGATGCGAATGAACTGGGCGGTGATGGGAGGGTTGAACATGTTGGTCTGCATGGTGCCGTAGTCCATGTTCCCCTGGAAAACCTGCAATGGCGAGCAGGGCTGAGTGCCCCAGCCCTCCTGCAGCCCTGGGCATAAAATCCCTCCCACTATGGCAACACTCCCCAAATTGTGAAAAGCAGAGAGGTGGTTTGCTTCTTTCTTTCTAACACAATAAATACAGTCAGGTCATGTTTACATGCATTTTTTTCCCACCACTGCAGTAACAAGAGAAACTTTTCTTTTTTTTAAAGCAAGGCAGATATTCCCGGCCATTCCCCGGATGCTCAAAAAACAAGCACAAGACACTTGCCATAAAAAACTGCGTGAAGAGTGCTGCATTCAGTGACTATTCCTGCTTCAAGAGTGAGATGGTACACTGTCAGCTCATGCTTGGTGCAGACACAGCACTGAGCTGCGTAAGCCATTTGCTAGCACTTCCAGACCATGCCCGGTTCCCACAGTGTGTCAGCGATAAAGATATTATCTGAATGACCTAAATAAGTCAGCGCTGCTTCTTTGGTTATGCTTATTATGGTCAATTAAATAGAGCCAGAGTGCTGCCCAGTGCTGGAACCATCTGGGCTGTCTCGCTGCTAGTTGGTTCCCAACGTGGCTTTGACCCAGGTCAAAAGCACTTTCCCAAACATGGGGACAGCTTGGGACGCAGCTCACAGCCACCCCAGCGCCCGCAGCACCGCTGGGTGGGGGGAGCCGGCATGGCCCCGCGCAGAGCATCACAGCCCACCTTGTCTGTGTCCTGTTTCTCGTCCTTGCAGAAGGTGAACTCCCGCCCGTCCAGGCTGTAGGCAACTTTGTAGGCGCGGACGTACTCCGGCTGGCCCACGCGGCGAGCGCCTTGTGTGATGATCCCGCTCAGCCGCATCTTCCGCAGCAGGTTGGCCTGGGGAGGGGAGAAGAGCTTGAGCAGGATGCAGCACAGGTGGGGTGCACAGCTCCTGCACCCACCAGCACCGCCAAGCCTGGATGGGAGGGTGGGCTCATGCTCAGCATCGGGACCAGGAGAGGGGCTGCCCAGGGCGCTGTGACTTCCTCGAGGCAAAAGCATCCCAGCTTTGCATCCCAGGGCTGGCAGACAAGCGGGGATGGATTGCCACCCCAGGTCCCCATCTTCTCCCCAGGGACCTTGTCTTCTCCAGGCACGTCACTAGATGCCCCTGGGTGGCACCTTGCTGAAGCAATTTAGCCCCGCATTTCTCACCAGGAGCAGAGAAATGCCATGAGAGCAGCCCTGCAAGACCAGCCATGGCTACTGGGGCTGCCCGCTACACACCCAGTCCTGCCGCAGGTACCTGGATCCACGGGCTTGTGTCGTAGTTGCTGGAGGTCCAGGCATTGACGATGCCGTGGTTGTTGAGGCGGGCGAGCTCTGGCCCCCAGCGCTGGAGGCCAAGGAAGAGTGAACAGAGGATGCCGAGAGCTGGGCATCAGAGATGGCTCCTCCTTCCATGCCCAGGAGAACGGCACAGCCTGGGGGCAGTGGGGACATCAGCACCAAAGAGAGAGGGCAACCAGGGAGCAAAACCGGGGGATCATTTGCCTCTTGTCTGGGGACAGGTCAGGAGATGGAGGCCAGCCCTCAGACCTGGCTGTCCCCAGGGTGTACCCCCCCACCTCAGCCTTCAGTCAAAACCGCACTATCCATCAGCCCCTCTCACACAGAGGTCTGGGGGGGGGAAGGATGCTCTGGGGCCTCCCCAGAGAGGAGACAGCACCTTCCCGGGGATGCTCCCTCCATCAGGACCAGGCCTGCTGGCATCAAGCGCAGCCAGCACACAGGCACCCACAGCTGCTCTCTAGATCCCCTAAATCAGCTGGTGAGATCTCTCCTGGGGACGCTAGCAATGGGGGACGGAGCAGCAGGGAACTGGGAGGGAAAGGGAATTCTGTACAGTTGGTGCCAGGGACTTACGGATGTGGCAGGTCTTCCCCAGGAACGGAGAAGGACACTTGCAGGCGTAGTTGCCGTCCAGGTCCAGGCAGGTGCCTCCGTTTTTGCAAGGCTGGGAGGAGCACTCGTTCTTGTCTAGGAGACAGAGAGGGGGGGCTCAGGAGGTGACCCCAGAGGCAGTCCCGGAGAGGAGACCCCTCCTTCAG